TGTAAAATAGCATAAAACTTATCATTTCCTCTTCCTAACTGAAACTCTGCCCCATTGAGCACTGACTCCCCGTGCCCTGCCCCCACCCGAGTCCAGCCACTCCATGGGCCTCATGTCCTGGAATCACAGCGTCTTTGTGACTAGCTTGCTTCATGTCGCATGTTGTCCTCAAGGCTTATCCATGTTGTAGCCTGTGTTCAGCCTTTTTAAGGCTGAATAATATTCCACTGCACAACAACACCCCGTCTTGCTGGTCCCCTCATCCAGCGATGGACACCTGGGGGCTCCCCCTCTCGGCCACTGTGAATAATGCTGTTGTGAACATGGGTGTGCAAATATCTCATCAAGACTCTGATTTTAATTCTTTCAGACAGATATGTGCCCAGAAATGGAATTGCTGGGTCATGTGTAATTGTTTTTTTGAGGAGTCTGGATAAACCATATCACAGGGACAGTGGAGTGGACGCCCCGTGCCATGTAGGCACAGACACTGTCCCTGTCCACACACACCTCCACAGGGGAAGCTGGGAAGGAGGGGCATTTCCTACAGAAAATTTTTAGAATGTGGAAAAACTTCTTACAATAAAAAATATTACATAGGAATGAGCAGCTGGTCACTCAAGTCTGAGTTAGAAAACACTCATTTCCTCTAGACAGATTCTATTTTCTTGGGGAAAAAAAATATTTTCTTAAAAACCATACAATGAAAAATGTGCTCGGAGGCCCTGGACTTACTGTTCTGCTCAGATCTAGTTTTTTATAAGCAAAGGTAAGGCCTGGGGCCGGAGGCGGGGAGCAGAGGCCGCTTGCTCGGCAGCCGTGATGGTCAGCGCCGAGGGCTCGGTTTGTGGAGGCGCCGCGCCTGCCTTACCGCACCACCGAGGAAGCGCACGGGTGTGAGTCCCAGCCGGTTGGGGTGACGTGCGGAGCACAGCAGACGCATCAGCTGCATCAGGTCTGCAGGGGCAGAGCAAAGGTGTCGTCGTTCACGTGGCCCTATGGGCACCAGTCCTTCCACCCGCCTGGGGCTGATGCTAAACAGCTTTTAAAAGGTGGCACCAGGCCAGTGGAGGCTCTTCGAGCTGGGCTCATCCAGCGCTGGTGCACACGGCCGGGCCGGGGCAGCAGGGGACGGGGCTGAGGAAGCAGGTCTGGTGGCAGAAGGCCTGGCGGGAGCCTCCACACACAGGCTGGCAACGCTGTTTAGTGCTCAGTTTACAGCTGGTCTGCTTGCCTCTGAAGGAGCCTTGATGTGTCCTCCTCTGTCCCCAGAGCTGGGCAGGTCTCCCCGAGTGCTGTGTGCATGTCCGCCCATCACTGGGCCTGCAGTTCAGTGCCCTCCCTTGCCATGGGGAAGCGTGAGGCCCCAGGGGCCAGCTAGCTGTGCACAGAGAAAACAAGAACGTGCCAGGCCTCAGCTCAGGAAGCCCCCTCGGGGAAGGCCTGCCAGAGTTCACTGGACAGGGATCCTGAGCCCACAGCCCAGGGCCCAGGTGGAGAGGCCGCAGGCGTCATGGCCCGAGCGGGGCGTCCAGGACCAAAACCAGGCCTCCCACTCGAGGAAGAGCCCAGCACTTCACCAGTGGGATTTAGGGCACCTGGGGACGAAGGAGGATTTTCAAACATCTCAGACCATCTTCTGTTTCCAGCTTTTGAATAATTCCACGGTGTGAATTTTCCTGCAGATATGAACAGGACCTTCCCAGACAATGTGCAGTTCCAGAAGGGTGCAGACCCCTGCCTACAGAAGGCCCTGTACAACGTGCTTCTGGCCTATGGCCGCCACAACCTGGCTGTGGGGTATTGCCAGGTGAGCCCCGGGGAAGCAGCTTGCACCTGCGGCGGGAGTGTGCTGGCCAGGTCACCCCCACAGCCAGCAACCCTCACACAGGCCCTGAGTTTAGGACCAGCAAGACGTCCCCATAGTGATTTCCTTTGGTGTCTGACCATAGGGAGGCGTGAGGACAGAGGCCAGGAGGCGGGCGAGCAGGAACTGTGGCGAGTAGAGTAGAGGCGCCCCAGCCTCAGTATCTGGGAGTGTGTTGTGTGGTGGGGGCGTCCTGTCTGGTTTCTTCTGGAAGTCAGGCCTTCCCCACTTTGACGGCAGCCGGGAGCTGTGTTGCCCGCTGGGCTTGTCATCTCGTCAAAGCCGCCTGTGCGGCAGGGGCAGCAGGAAAGGCCTGCATCAGGACACACATTGTGTGGTGTGTGGGGCTCTGGCAGGCAGTGGGCGGCGTAATGGCCAGAAACCGCTGGTCACCGTCTGTGAGCAGGAGGCCACGGCAGCCACAGTGTAGTGGCCCTCCTGTGATCGGGGCTGCAGGCTGCTCGGTTCTAGGCTGAGGCCCGCTGAAGGCTTCCCCAGGGAATGGGGTGGATTTGGTGGAGACAAGCAGGTGATGTCCGCCAGCCGCGGGCGAGGGCTCCGAGATCTTGCTCCAAAGGCCCCTGGGCCCTTCTCTGAGGTTGGGCGAATGTTTACACAGCGTGGCTGCCTTGGCTGCCCGCGCTCCCCTCGGACCTTATCGGATGCAGATGTGAAGGGGAGCGCGGGCTGCGAGCGAGGCAGCTCCTCGGACACATGGTGCCGGCTCACCCACCTGGCCATGAGGAGCTGGGGAGGCAGGATGGTTGAGAAACCATCTATAGATGGTTCGCTTACTCTCTTCGTGGGTTTTAAAAAGAGCTTTTTAAAAATTAAGTATCCCATATGACTTCAGATGCTGTATGATGCTGAAGCTTTCCTGGCTTTGGGGCGGGACGCACGCACAGGCAGTGTGGTCCTGGGGCCACCGTGGCAAACGCACACAGCCGACAGGTCTGCCTGGGTCTGGAGCGGAGACGAGGGGTTGGCAGGGAGGGTCTGTTCCGGCTTGTCCCGCTGGCAGTCTCTGGAAAGTGGGCACTCTTTGGCTTGTACACACGTTGCCCATCTCCTCATCATTTTCATGTGGCCTCACCGTGTGTGTGTCTCCGTGTCCATAGTTACCCTGTTTGTTGACAAAAGCTAGAGTTTTCCCTTATTACTTGAGAAATACATGTTTGTTTTAGAATATACAGACAGATCCTAAAGTAGAAAATAGAAGTCGTTTGAACCCCCATCACCATAGGTGACGCTAATGGCTGCTGTGAGGCCCCAGCAACCCGGCTGCTTCTCTTGGCAGAGGGGCACACATTTGGTGTACTTTGGCAAAATCTGCCCTTTGGCAAGTGTGTGCCATGAATTTCCCAAATCGTCTCCATCACAGAACTCAGCATCCCCCTGTGCTGGGCCACATTGCTTACAGTTTTTATGAAATAGGGTCACTGGTACAGTCCCACGCTGTTGGTACATATCACATCAGCTTTGTCAGAAGCCAGCTGTAGGATGTATTCATCACGCGGTCACTGTTAGGGTGGGAAGGTGGTTCTCAGAAAAGCTTGACCATTTTTTTTCCTTTTCTTGTAGGCTTGACTAGACCCATTGCTAGATCCTTAGGGTCTGCAAAGTTCTGCTGAGAGGTCGTCCTAGAATTATGCAGGTTTCAGTGGGGAGCAGGGGAAGGAGTCAGTTGTTAGTGTCTTACAGTAATTTAAAATGTGACGTGAATTTCTATTTCTCATTTTTCTCATTTCAGGGAATGAACTTTATAGCAGGATATCTAATTCTCATAACAAAGAATGAGGAAGAATCCTTCTGGCTGCTTGACGCACTTGTGGGACGGATCCTGCCTGGTACGTGGGGGGCCCCCACTGTGTGCCGTTAGCTGGCCTGGTCTCGGGTGCTGTCGGGTGCCTGAGCTGAGAAGGTTTAATTAAAACACAGTTGAATTGCTTGGAGTTGAGGTTAAAGATCTTGTTGCATCTGAGGTGAGAAGAGCATGTGGAAGGCGCCCGCTCCCAGAACAGCCTGCTTCCCGCCTGGCGGGGTTTCCTCTGCCCCACATCCTAGAGCGCAGATTTGTCTAGAATGTGTGTGGCTCTCTGTGCCGCGCATCTGAGCCTGTGGGGCCTCTGCTGCAATTCCCGTTGATCACGAAATCTGCGAGAGGTCGCGAGCAGCTGACAGGGTGCAGGAACCATCACTTACTAAGGTGACATCATTCTTCATGCATTTCTCCCTATGAAGGGTTTAGTTAGCTACAAACTAATTAACACTTTATTTATCAGTAAATACTGATTCTGTGCTGTAGAGTACAGTCCCTTAGGCAGAGCGGTGGCCAGACCGTCTCGGGGGAGGGCTGGGGCAGACGCAACCTGCCCACCCCCACCGGTGCCGGTGGTGCCGGCCTGAAGGACTACACTGCTGTGTGCTTCCTGCTTAGAGCCACTTTTTCTGTGTCCCACAAATTTTGGACTGTTGTATTTTTGTTTTCATTTGTCTCCACATATTGCTTGATTTCTGTTTTGGTTTGTTTATTGATCCACTGATTATTTAGAAGCATGTTGTTTAACCTCCATGAGTTTGTAAGTCTTTGTTTTCTTTGTGTAATTTACTTCTAGTTTCATACCATTGTGGTCTGAGAAGCTGCTTGATACAATTTCAATTTTTTGAATTTATTGTGGCTCTTTTTGTGGTCTAGTATATGGTCTCTTCTGGAAAACATTCCATGTACATTTGAGAACAGTGTGTATCCTGCTGCGTTTGGGTGGAATGCTCTGTAGATATCAGTGAAGTCCATCTGATCTAATGTGTTGTTCTGTGCCTCTGTTTCCTTATTTATTTTCTGTCTGGTTTATCTATTGATGTGAGTGGTATGTTAAAGTCCTCTGAAATGAATGTGTTGCCATCTGTTTCCTCCTTTAATTCTGTTAGTATTTGTTTCACATATGCTGGTGCTCCTGTGTTGGGTGCACAGATATTTGTAATTGTTATATCCTCTTGTTGGACTGAGCCCTTTATCATTATGTAATATTCTTGTCTCTTTTGTTACTTTCTTTGTTTTGAAATCTATTTTGTCTGATATAAGTACTGCTAATCCTGCTTTCTTCTCCCTGTTATTTGTATGAAATATCTTCCATCCCTTCCCTTTTAGTCTGTGCATGTCTCTGGGTCTGAAATGAGTCTCTTGTAGGCAGCAAATAGACGGGTCTTGTTCCCTTATCTATTCTGTCCCCCTGTGTCTTTTGTTCGGTGCATTCAGCCCCATTTAAGGTAATTATTGACGGGTATGTACTTACTGCCATTTTGTTTTCCGGTTGTTTTTATAGCTCCTCCTCTCTACTCTCTCGTTGTTTGATGGTTTTCTTTAGTATTGTGATTAGATTCCTCTTTTTAAATTTTTTGTGTATCTATTAATAGGCTTCAGGTTCGCGGTCACCATAGGCTCAAGGATAGCTTTCTATTCCTATGTGACAGTCGATGGTAAGTCGGTGGTCGTGCTACTTCACACACAGTCTGAAAGCACATCACTTTTCTTCTTCCTCCCCCACACTTCATGTACTAGATGTCATGATCTGCGCTTTTTGTGTATCCCTTGACTGATTTCGTGTGCAGTTGGTTTTACTACTTTTGGTTTAATTTCATACTTGCTTGCTAAATAACTGGTCTCCTCCCTTCACTGTGGGTCTATTTTCACTGGTGAAAGCTATTTAGCCTTAGGAACATTTCCATCTCTAGCGGTTCCTTCACCATCTCCTGTAAGGCTGGCTTAGTGGCAGTGAATTCTGTCAACTTTGGTTTATCTGAAAATTGTTTAATACCTGCCTCCAATTTAGATGATAATCTTGTTGGGCAGAGGATTCCTGGTTGGAAACCCTTCTGTTTCGGTACATTGACTACATCATGCCGCCCCCTCCGGCCTGCGGAGTTTCTGCTGGGAAGTCCGCTGACAGCCTTATGGGATTCCCTTTATAAGTAACCACCTTTCTCTCTCTGGCTGCTTTGAACGCTCCTTATCCTTGATCTTCGCCATTCTAATTACTCTATGTCTTGGTGTTGTCTCTCTGCGATTCCTTTTGTCAGGGGCTCTCGGCACTTCCATGACCTATTTCCCTTCCCAGATAGGGAAAGTTTTCAACAGTCATTTCCTCAAAGAGACTCCTACCCCTTTGCCCCTCTCTCCTCCCTTTATCGCCCCCGTCATGAATCCCGTTCCATCCGGACCGCCCGCGCAGCTCTCAGCACCCTCTCGTCCCGGAAACCCTCTTTCCCCAGCCTGTGTCCCTGTCCCCTGACGTGCGCCTCACCGACCGTCTCCTCCCCGCGCAAGGACCCGCCAGCCCCCCACCCCCAGCGCACGCTCCGTTTCGGCCGCTGTGTCTTCAGTCTCAGCGGCTCCTCAGCTCCCCCCGGAATCTTCAGCGCCTTTCTGCGGACCGGCGAGCGCATTCGGGACTCCGAAGCCTTTGCAAGCGCGCTGCGGCCTCTGCCCCGTTCAGCTCCGCCTGGCGTCTGGCCCTGTGGGCGTGTTCGGGACGCGTTCCTCTGCCTCATTTCCCGAGTTTCTTCCTTTATACCAGGCGGATCTGCTGCGCTCCCTGGTCTAGGGTGATGGGTTTATGGGGAAAGTGTCCTTGGGTGCCCAGAAGCCCGGGACTCTTTACTGCCAGCGGCTGGTTCGCCCTTATGGTGGAGCCCGGTTCCTGCTGGCGGGCAGCGGGCGGGCCCGCCGCTCTCTCTCTGCCGGCGGCGGTCTCAGTCGGCCTCAGCTGGCCCTTTGTGACCACAGCAGTGGCTTCTGGGATTGTCATGGGCAGGGCTGCCCTCTGCCTGCCCCGCAGTGATGGGGGAATGCCCTGTAGTGAGGGTGGGGCAGCTGTGCAGCTCTGCGGCAGGCAGGGCAAGGCAGGGGCATGCGTCAGAGGGTCAGGTGGGCGCCCCTGGGTGGCAGCGTGGCGTGCAGCACCAGGCTCGGCCACCCGTGCAGAGGAAGGAGCTCTCGGGCCGGCTTCTGCAGGCATCCCCCTGGGTGGGCGGAGACAGGCCTCGGAGAGCTGGGAGAGCCTCCCTCTGTGTGCCAGGCAGCCAAGTCTGGCGCTGCTGGGCCGAGTGGGCTGGTGTGCCAGGGGAGTGCTGGGACATGCCCTGGGGCTGAGCTGCCAACGGGGGGCAGGAATGTCTGGGGCTCAGAGTGCCCAGCCTGGCGAGCCGAGAGGGTGCTGGAGGGGTGTCATCCACCTGCCCTTTCAGCTGAGGAGAGCGCTCCACCCAGCCCTCGCCCCTCTGGCACCCCTCCCGCTGCTGGCAGTTCTTTGCTCTGGGTCTCGGTGGGACCAGGGGGGCGTGCCTGCCCTCCGCAAGCAGCTGGAGACCCAGCCTCCCAGAGAGCTCCACTCCCCCTGGTGTCCTGCCCACGAGCCACCAGAACCCAGTGTGGCGTGGGCTCCTGCTCCCAGAGCAGATCTCCAGGGCCAGGCGTGCAGCGCTCCCGGGCTCCTGCCCCTTCCTCGCTCCATTCTTCTTCCTCCCATCCGTGGGCTGGGAAGGGGACAGGGCTTGGGTCCCACCCAGTCGTGGCTCTGCCACTTCACCCTTTTCTGTGTGGTCTTTTCTTCTGCCTCAGGTGTAGGTGGTCTCTTCTGCAGTCCTCAGGCCATTTTCAGGGTCAGTTGTATTTGCTGTATTTCATGTGTCTTTGGAAAGGGGGTTTCTGCCGTGCCTTCCTACTCTGCCATCCTTTTCCCCTCCAAACTTACCTATGGGGTGTTATTTTTTATCTAAAGCATTTATCCCAGAAGTTCAGGGATTGCTTAATCACATGGAATAATCAAGGGCAAAGCCAAGCCAAAAGGTTGAAAGAAGAATATTGGGTATTTATTATAATGCTGTAATCGTTAACATGGTGTGGATGAATAATCAGAATTGAGAGGCGAGAAGTCAATTAGTCTGTTATTGGTAAATCGTTCAGAACTTGGTATGGAAGCTTGTGGGCTAATGGGGGAAAGATGGACTATTATAATGTCATACTGTGACAGCTGGCTGTCTCTGTGGAAGAAAACAAAATTAGACCCTTATTTCAATTCCTGATGGATGCAAGACTTATGTGGAAAAGTGAAACTCTGAAAATCAGGACATGAGATTTGGAACAGTTTTGTGATTCTGGAGTCAGGGAAGACGCTCTTGCACAAAGCTCAGAATATATAAAAGACATGATTAATGGTTACAGTAAAACTCAAAACTCATAAGCAAAGTAAAAGATAAACTGCTCTTTTGGAGAAGTTGTCTGTCATCCATACAATTAAAGTGTGAAGAACTCCTAAAAATCTAAGAGAAAGCTCAGTGGAAAAGGAGGTGAAGCACACGCCCAGTAAGCAGTTTACAAAATAGGAAACCTGAATGGCCAACAGCAGGGGACAGCCAAGCTCTCCTGCAAGCAAGGACGCTCAATTCAAATCCAAGCACACCTGACGTCCGACGTCTGGGCATCCCCAGCAGTGTGGCCGACTGAAGCCCCCACCGTAGGCTGGCAACACCGCCACTTCAGAGCACCAGACACGGTGTAGGAGTCACGGAGCTGAGGACTGCTGCTGCATCTCCTCACAGGAGGGCTGAGGCGGAGCCAGGCTGGTGCCCGCCCGCCGTCTGGCCTGGAGCTCAGTGGCCACCTGACAGGCTTACTCAGAGGACTGCGCTGGCATCAAGGTCCCCTTACAGTCCCTAGTCAACAGCACTAGCCAGCTATGTGCATCCCTGCTGAATCTGGCCCTGTGCGGGTTTGAGGGCCCATGCTGACTGGCACCAAGCAGCCTCTTCTGGAGCCAGTGGAGACTGTCCCCATCCTCCAACCAAGGCACCCACATCAGCTGATGTGCCCCTTGCCAGCCTGCAGAGAGACTGCGTAGGGACAAGCTTAGCAGCCCGTGCTTACTGCCCTGTCTGCTGCCAGAGAGGAGAGGACACCGCCCGGGGCGAATAGGCGTCCGGCAGGGAGGTAGTGCCTGACGTCCCGGAAGGTGGGTCTGACCTGTCTTCCCTGTGATGCACAGGCGGGCACCACAGATTCCCTGACTCAAGCTGGGAGTGTGGCCAGGGCGTTGGGACAGGGTGCGCTCCTGGAGGGTGGGGGGTCCACAGTAGGAGGACGGCATGGCGCTGGCCCGGTGGTCCGCCCAGGCACGCAGCCCCCGGGAGAGGCGTCACGCAGGGCCCCGAGGGTTGCTTCGGGCCGCTGTGTCCTGGGCACAGCCCGGTGGGCTTTTCTTAGCCTGTGCGCGGGCGGGCAGGGCCCAGAAGGCGGGTGGGTCACAGTGCTGACAGGCCTTCCCTGCCCTCCCTGGATTGGCTCAGGCCTGCTGCTATTTTCAGGAGCCACTCTAAGCCGCTCTGGGACGGAGAAGGAGGCCACACTGTCCCCATGGCGCGGCACTGCCCCGGCATCCGGTGGGCTGCCAGGCACTGAGTCAGGCAGCTCTTCCGCGCTGACAGGAGCTGACTCCGCTCCCCTCGCCCCAGGCAGGCCGGGGTGCTGCTCATTTAGAGGCAAAAGCACAGCGCATGGCTCACAGTTACAAGAGACAGATGCAAATGAGGATATGAGAGGAAAAAAAAATTAATTCCTGTGTTTTATGACCAAATTGACTTTTGACAAATTATCTTCAAGTTACCAGTAAACACAGCTTACTTTATGCTTACCCTCTGAAAATCAGTAACATGACCATATTATGTCAATGACTGTATTTTAACCAAAATATTTAATTAGTAAGAGCATCTCATCCCTGTCATGTGACTGACAAACTGCATGTGGCCGGAGGACAAGGTGACACAATGCATGCCACATCTTCCCGTTTTATTCTACACATTACTTACTGAACTTAGAGCCAAAATGTTAAAATTCATCGTAATGCACCACATTAACATGCAGAAGAGTTATTTGCCAAGACAAACGTCCGTTCAGGAGACAGGCGCGCTGTGGACATGTCCTTCTGTGTGTCAGTGCACGGCCGCTGGGCTGTGGGGACGCAGTGGCGGGAGCAGCAGGGCAGCCGGGAGGGTGCCTTGACAGGTGGCTCTGTGTGCCGACATTGGGCTCCCGGAATGTCTGGGCAGTGAAATGACGTTAGAAAAGCACATGGGGTTCCAAGACTGTAGCCAGAGAGCCTTCACAGCCGCCCTGCACCGCACGCTTCCCCACACCCAAGCTCACGCGGGTTGGCAGCATCTGGGAGCCGGTGAAGCGGGTCTGGCCCATTCCGGTGAGGACGGCTCACCAAGGGGCCATGCGTGAGGATGTGACAGCTGTGGGGGCCGCAGAGCAAAGGGCTTCAGCGCAATGCAGCAGGCCCTGTCTGGACGCCGTGCTGGGTCACATGGCAGGAAGAGCGGGGGCAGGCCCACTGACCTCAGTGATGACTGGTTCTCTGGGGACAGTGGCACAGGGGTGACTTCACCTGCCCAGTACCGCACTACCTCCAGAACAAGAGGGCAGCAGGTGAACGCACGCACCCAGTAAAGAAGGGAGCACCCGTCTGTACCCAGAGGTGATGGCACCCTGCTGGAGACGTCCCTGACAGCCCAATCCACCCATCGAGGGCACACACTTTACCCACCTGTGCGGAACTAGACATCTGTGACTTGGACCAAATTTTTTAAGTCGTGTTTTATGACATTAATTTCTGTGCCTGAGCCACCTGTCCTGGGGAGATGGGCGTGTGGGGGGCCTCCTTACTCTGAGGGGGCAAGCAGCACCGTGGGGTCCACGGGTTCGCTTGTGCCTGGACCCCAAGGCCTCTCTTGCTCCCAGGAGGCGCTTGTCACTGCCCCTGCAGCCCCCCTTCCCCGGGGCTTGAGGGGATCAGAGCCACGGCTACCGAAGACCATCCCCCTTGGTTTGGATGACAGGAAACACAGCCACTGCCTGCAGACTTTTAGATTGTAGTGGACACAAATTTGTGCTTATTGTGGTGAAATACAGGTGACAGTCGCCATCTTAACAGCTTTGAAGCTGGAGCTTGGGGCGTGAAGCACATGCATGCGGTGTGCAGCTGTCCCCACCCTCTCGGGTCCCACATCTCCCCAAACTGAAGTCCTCTCCCCACTGAACACCAACTCCCATGCCCCCGTGGCACCGGCACCCACCGCCCACCTTATGTCTGAGTCTGACGACTCCAGGGCCCTCCTGTCAGTGGGGCCACAGTACTGCCCCTGGGAGGTCTGGCTTTACCTCTGGGTCCATCCATGTGGACCTGGCTGCTGAGGGCTGAGTCACATCCCACTGTGGCCGGGCCGTGCTGGGCTTACAGCAGCAGACAGCTGGCTGTGCCCCTGGCCGTGGTGGGCCCTGCAGATGTCCTTGCCCTCCGCTGGGTGCTCGCTGTCCAGAGCCTGCGGGAATGACTCTCTCTGACCTGCCCTCTTCCCAAGGAGACCCTGTGGGGGGGCCCCCACTCTCCCCGCCCGGCTGGGCGAGGACAGGGGCGCATTCTGGCTCTCCCCCTCCCGAGGCAGATTACTACAGCCCCACAATGCTGGGCCTCAAGACGGACCAGGAGGTCCTGGGGGAGCTGGTGAGGACCAAGCTGCCGGCGGTGGCGACGCTCATGGACGGGCACGGTGTCCCGTGGGCCCTGGTCGTGTCGCGCTGGTTTGTCTGCCTGTTCGTGGACGCACTGCCGGTGGAGGTGAGTGGGGCTGCGCCTTGCCAGGCCAGGGCCCCACGGGCTGCCGTGGGGTGACGTGCCGTCTCTCTGTTCTGTGCAGACAGTGCTCCGGGTCTGGGACTGTCTGTTCAACGAGGGCTCGAAGATTATCTTCCGGGTGGCCCTGACCCTCGTGAAGCAGCACCAGGCTTTTATTCTGGGGGCCACCAGTGCTGCAGACGTGTGTGAAAAGTTCAAGGAGATCACCAGAGGGACCTTTGTGACCGAGTGTCACACCTTTATGCAGGTGAGTGGCGGGTGTGCTCGACCACTCCATTTGCCTGTGGGGTGGGTTCCTGGCTTCACACAGCTGGCACGACATCTGTCCATTTCCTCAGCTGGGTCTCACCCCGCACCCCCGCCCAGCAGCCCTTCCAGGCCCACCTCCTCTGGGAGCCCGGGGGGCCAGCAGACCATGCCTGCTGCCCCTCCTCCCACGGCAGGAGGGGTCCAGGGCCCCTGGGATCCCACAGGCCAGGTGAGGAACCCAGGCTCACCAAGCCGGCTCCATCCCCTCCCGCACTGCCCCCCAGCCTGCCGCCGCCCCCAGCATCTGCCGTCTCCGAGGGCTTTCCTGAGGACTCCGAGGGCTTTCCTGAGGACCCCGTCACCACTGGGCCCCCATCCCTTCCGCCCCAGTCGGCTCGTGCTTTGCTGCCTGTCCACCCCCAGGGCAGCCCCCAGAATGGGCCTCTGTGCCAGGTCCTGGGCCTGGCGCAGGCTGTGTGGATGACTCAGGCCTGCTGAGTGAGTGACATGGCAGCTGCACCTGGTGGGCCTTCTGAGGCAGTGTCGGAGGCGGGGCCAGGCTCGGGCTGGAAAGGCAGGTCTTGGACCAGTGGGAAGAGGTCAGCAGGCCGACAGCAAAGCCCAGAGCTGGAAGGCCCCTGGCGGTGAAGAGCCGGTGCCAAGCGGTCTTCGTCTAGCATGCCCGCCCATCTTGCTGCTCACCTTTCCGCCTGGAACAATTACACACTCAACTCAAAGCAGGGGGCAGAGGGCCCCCATGGCTGCGTCCACGTGGCATGCTGTTTAATACCCACAGAGGCCAGGGGATCCTCCCGCCTCCACGGAGGGTCCTCTGATGGCTGGGACTCTCAGAACCGGGGGTGCCGACCAGGGAATGTGAGACCGAGCTTCCTCCTAACGCCATGGAAGTTAAACGCATGGATGTGGGGCAACATCAGAGGGAAGGCCTGCGCCTCTGGCGGTGAGAGAGGCCCACTTCCAGCCACGGGGAGGGGGCACACGACCTCCTGACTGCACCACAGGGCCTAGCGCACCAGGGTCTCATGTGTCCTCTATTCGGCGGGTGGGTGGGTACGGGTGCCAACATCTCAGCTTGGCAGCTGCGGCCTCAGCACAGGGTGGCGCTGGCGGAGGGGACATGCCAGACCGGTGCCTGATGCATCTGGGGTTGGCCGGAGGGGGACCCCTCACCATGGCAGCACTGTCCCCAGGACAGCTGCCCTGTGGCTGGAGGTGGGCAGGCCGCCAGGACCCCGTGGTGAGAACATGGGGAAGCGCACGCCTCTGTAATGACACGTGAAGGTGCCTGTGGGAGCCGGACACTGGGTCTGGACAGAACCCGAGCTGGCCCTGGACTGTCCGACTAGGCAGGTGTCACGGACCCTTTGAGACTCCATCTCCTCACCTGTAACGGGAGATGAGGTCCTGCATCCTGGGGTCGAGACCTCCTTCAAGGGAAAAATGCCTGTATCACAAAATCCACTCATGACACACACTGTCAGAAGGCTTTAGTGCCTTCACAAGACTGCAGCTGGAACTGTTATCTAGTTCTGAAAATTCTCATCACCCCATCAGGGAGCCCTGAACCCCCCTCAGGCCCCCCAGCCCCTGGCAACCACGAGTCCCTCTGTCTCTGTTCATTTGCCTCTCTGGACACTTCCCATAAACAGAGGCGGACACGGGTGGCTCCGGCTGGCTTCCCTCCCCAGGCGTGCTTTCGAGGTGGTGTCGTCCTACTGTCGGGTGTGTGGCAGGGCACTCTGCCCTTAGTAGGTGCTGGCAGGTAGAAAGGGCCAGAGGCCACCAGGCAGCTGTCCTTCCGTGAGCAGCAGGCTCTGTGGTGCCACTGTGGGGCACTCTGGACCGAGCTGGGCAGGCTCCAGGGAAGCCCAGGAGCCCAGGATGCTGGGTGGGTTTCGCCCCCAACCCCACTGAAACAAACACTGTAACCATCACACAGATGTGGTCCTGGTGCAGCGAGGCGTCTCCCACGGCCAGGGCGGTCGTGTGTGTCTCTGCATCGAACTCAGATCAGCGCCATCAGTCATGCGCCTGGTCTCCGCAGTCCCATACGGGAACCTAGTGCTCGCTGGCAAAGAGAGGCAGGCGCACAGGTTGCCAGGGCAACACGGACAGGCAGGCGGTAGGACGGGGCGCCTGGAACCACTCAAAGACCTTGGGTGCCGTGCATTATGGTCCCGCATCAGTCTCTGAAACGAGTTCATCAAACCTCCTTAATGCCTGGCCTTATGCCTGGCCTGATTCCTGACTCTCTCAGCAGCGATCACACAAACGATTATTAGATCATGCACGGACAGCGTGAGCACACGCCCGCAGTCTGAACGGAGTCCGAGACTCTCCCTGCTTCCACTTCTCATGTCTTTGTCCACCCTTGACTGGCCCCGACTGGCGTAGGGCCGCTGTGGGACGTGACTGAAGGGCTGGGACGAAACAGCACACAGGCAGAGGCGAGAGCAGACCCCTGGGCCACCCAGACGTGTGGCCTCTCGGCAGCAAAGGGGTCGGCGAGGCCCTCGCGCAGCGCCCCCAGCATCTGCACAGCTCGTGTCTGATGGGGTGGGTGGATGAGGGACTGCAGCCCTGCTGGGCGTGCGGCCTGAGGCCTCTGGCCTGCCAGTCTAGCCTTTAACAGGACGTGTGAACTGAAGACCTACTGGCATTTTTTTAAACTAATTCTGTTTTTGTTCTAGAAAATATTCTCACAGCCTGGAAGCTTGTCCATGGCCACCATCACCAGGCTTCGAGAGAGCTGCAGGGCCAGGCTGCTGGCGCAGGGCTGACAGGGCACCCCCGCCCCCGCCCCCCAGAGGCAACCACTTTTTACTGCTTTCCTTTTGTGCCATGAACATGTCTCTGTTAATTTTTTAAGACAGTTTAGAATTATGTCGCTCTTTAACTCTATGAGCTGTAGTCATAAATTCATAAAAATACATTTTTACCTGAGACACAGACGTGTAAAATGTGGTAGACGTGTGTCTGTACCTAATAAATACGGTAACATCCCGTCTGTGGTTTCAGCTTGTCAGCCAGTTGAGAATCAGCACCGCGAGCCGAGCTGTCTTTGGTATCGATGCCGATGAAGTGTCATTGTCCTGCCTGTATTTGAGTTTGTGCCTGTAGCAAATGATTTCTTTTTAAGTGGTTTTTTTAATGTGTTCACATGAATGAACCAGAAGCAAGTGTGTACCACTTTGGGAGTATCGAGTCTCACTGGGGCCTGTGGTGTTCCCGCAGCCACCTCACCCTGGGCCCCTGGAGAGGGGAACGAACCCAGCAACACCCATCCTCAGCCGGTGAGACGATGCCCAGCCTACCACCCCTGCCGACTCCATCTCCCGATGCTGCTGCCTCCAGCTGGCTGGACGGCCCTGCTGCGTGAGCAGGCGAGGCCCAGAATGGGGACACGCAGGACACCTGGGCAGCCCACACCCCTGCCTGCCCCCAGCAGCCCCAAGGAGCCCGCTCCACTCAGGAATGTCGCCTGTAAACAACCCTTGGTTTCTCCTGAGGGCCTTTCCATTCCCCAACATCTCCTCACCCTGTGTCTGTACCACTGTCACCGTCAGCACCTCTGTGGCCACAGCCTCACCCCCCGAATGAAGCTTTCAGTCTGCCGGCGACCACAGCCCCGCTCCACTTCCCCATCCCTCACGCAGCCTTGCTCTACAGTCCTGGCTGGGGACCGCACTCGGCCACCTCACCCTGGAGTGAGTCTCCTGCTGTGCGGACGGCGGGGCCCTGGGGTGGGGACGGTGGGCGTGCACCTCCCAGCACGGCCGCCCAGCAGGCAGGCTCCCACGGCCCCACACGAAGGCATGCTGGTCCTCAGAGGGCACAGGTCTTTGCTTACAAGGCAAAGATGAACTGAAAACTCAGGTCAAGTTCCTGCTCTAAGCACAGCCAGTGGGCCCCCCACCGCCTTCCTGGAGCACCCAATCAGGGTCCCCTGCAGGGCACTCTGGTCCCCAGAGCACAGGTTCCACACCGGGTGAAGCCTGAGCCACCCTGCTCCCATCTGCCGCTGCACGGGGTGGGAG